TTTTTTTTTTTTTTTTTTTTTTTAGTATTTTCTTTTTTTGATAACAAATAAATAAAAATCTACTCCTACTAAATCAAAAATAACAAGATAAAATTACTATATACTCAATCTTCGTTTATTGAAAGTATCAAATTTAAAAATTGCATTAAACTAAATAAAAATATATTTTATTTTTATTTTTTTGAAAACTTTCTTTCTTTATAAATAAAAATAAAACTTCTACTAAAATGTGACCTTTTTTTTAACCATTTTCATTTTTCTTAAATAAAATATATAAAAAGGTGAAATAAGAGATAAAATATATAGATTAAAGTTTAAATATATTTACATACTAAAAATTGATAAATATTTCAAGCATGGTAAAAAAATTAGGTGCTCACATGTACTCAATAAGTAACAAAACTAACCTTAGGCAGAAAGAAGTGACGAGCTCAAAAACAATAATTAGAGACCAATATCAATAACCAGTAATGTTTCAGAATATAAAGGAAATAGTAGAATCAGGTAACTCAATGATATTATGTTCAGCTCGTTAACATTTTAGGAATTTAGACATGTCTTTTGAGTATAACAATTTAAGCCCAACACGGATATGGTTTCATTTACCAGCTAGCATGAGGAAGGTACATCTCTATGCCTACATGTCAACTCAACATTATTATAGCGAAACTATCAAGAATAACCACATAGCTATACTTAGCACTATACGAGTGCCTGGCATAAATGTCCATCATCAAAGCACGTATATAAAATATTGTGCCTGCGCCCAATGCTGGCATGTCAGACTCCGGATGGACAGATCCTGCCCAAGCGCTAATCATAATCACATAGCCCAATGGAGAGGCCTAGTGCACGCGTCGCCCCAAAATCAATATCGCTTAGCCCAATATGAGTCTGGCATATGCATCACCTCAAAATCAATACCAAAACGGCTCTATAGCACAAGCTCAGTCATTAACTACTCAAGTCTCAGATAATCATATTTCATAATACTTATATCAATAGTGTCACACATATAAGGCATCAACAACATATGAGGAATCAATAAGAAAGTACTGATACAGAGATATCATACACGGATATAGCGTCATGACCGAGAGTATGTGTACAATTAAGGTAAATAGCTCAGAAATAGCAAGAATAGCCTATCATGTCTCGAACAATTAGCACATAGACTAGACATACTTTCTAACATGAATAATGGCTTATTTAATCATACAAGTAGAGAAAATACGGATATAACGAGGCGTGATAGCAAAACAAATCTCACGATAGTATAAAATCCACCTCTAATCATGAATACTTCAGTGCGCACACTCACGCTCGTCACCTAGCGCATGTGTCACCCCAATATCTCTCATGCAATATAATTCTTAGGGTTAAATACTATCAAATCTAAGTTTAGATATGTTATTGTCACGACCCAAAATCTACTGTAGGCCGCGATGGTGCCCAACGTCACCATTAGGCAAGCCAATGGTGAACTACCAACTTAATTACTTATTTTATTATTTTTGAAATCATGAATCCCATTAAATAATAGAGCAAAATATGGAACTCATAGAAATCTGTGCTATTCTATACAAAGTTTCGAATATAAATAAATCATAAAGTGAAATGATAATAATAACGTGAACTACAATAGTGAACATCCACTAGGAACCCCCAAAACCCAGTATCACAAGTGCATGAGCACCTACTAGGAAGTAGAATAATAATATAACATCTGTCTGGAATACAAGATAGACATGATAATATAAATAAGTATTATGGAGACCCCGTATGTTGCGGTGTGTAACATGGGATGCAACTCATTATAAAGTCCCCTGAATAGTTGTGCCTTTACGCCCAAGAGACCAACAGAAATATATATATACCCGCATAATAAGTTTAGAAGTGTAGCATGAGTACGTAAATCAATGCATACCTAGTAAGTATTGATGACGTCCAAATCCACTACTAAAAAGTAAATGGACATGGTCGCATGCAATATAATTTACCCAACTATGAGTCGGGGTCGAATCCCACAGAGAATAATATGTAGGTGATTAGGAATGTAAGAGAATTATCACTTATTATGCAATGCCAAATACTTAGAATGATTGTTGAGAAAATATTATATCTAAATGCGAAAATATAAACTAACCTAGAAAGCAAGTAAAATGATCAATGGCTACAAGTATGGATACAATGGGAATACTCAAGTAACGATCCAATATATTTCACAATTTTAAAAATATGAGCGAGTTTATTATTTATTAGCCTCGGATAATAATTCTATATTAGCTTCTCTCAAAAAATAACAAGACTTACTAATTGAATTATCCCTAAAACAATTAAGAGATTAAGCATACCCGAATATGGTTACAAGTAGTTCAATCCTATCCCTAGGTAGAATCTATAAAGTGAGGGTTAAAGCCTCAAGTTCTTTTTAATTAATCTTTCCCAAACCCAAATTATCTTTTCCAAAATTAATTCGAAGTTAATGGGCGAGTCCTAGGGTTAGCTAATCCCTTTGGAAACAATAAAGAACAAGAATAATTAAAGGAACAATAACTCACTTCATAATAAATAAAAATTAATCAATACATAAGCACAACAAGATATTTAATCCATACTTTAAATATGAATATTCCCATAAACAAGATTCAAGTGTAGAAAAAAATACTACACACTTAAATATTTAATACAAAGCAAGAAAATAAAGAGATGAGCATAAATGAGTAAGAAATTCTCAACCAAAAGCTTCAAATCTTCAAGACTCAAGTGTGTGTGCAAGAACCCTACCTTCAAAACTTGTCTTCTCTAGTCTAGGAATTGAAAAATAAGCCAAAGATCTCCTACAAATGAGTTAGGTCGTGTATTAAATGGTTTGGGGTCAAATTCGTAAAATTTCAGAACTGCCCAGTTTTTCCGCCCAGTTTCTTCTTCGCGTTCGCGAACAACACTTCGCGTTCGCGAAGGTTTGATTTCTGCTTCTTCGCGTTCGCGAAATCTCCGTCGCGTTCGTGAAGGTTTGTCTCCTGCTTCTTCGCGTTCGCGAAGGTTGGCTTCCTCCTTCTTCGCATTCACGTACAGCACCTCGCGTTCGCGAAGGCTTGTTGGCCTAATGCTTCGCGTTCGCATCTAACCCTTCGCGTTTGCGAAGGGTAATTCACTAGGCGGATTTATTTTGTCCATTTTAGCTTCTTGTTTACTCGTTTTCACTTGGTTTCTTCACCATCATTTCTAAATCACTTGATACCTGAAATATGCCAATAAACCTCAATAAATGCCTTAGTTTCTCATCAAAATCATACAAAAGCCTAAGTATCAAGAAGAGATAAGTGGGTAAAATACCAACTTAGCAAACCCCCAAACTTAAACTATTGCTTGTCCTCAAGTAATTTAAAAACTATGAACATCCTTCAATAATATCATCAATTAAGCTCAATGGCATACCAAACATCATTTCAAGTCAAAAAGGTTCAACTTAAGCACAATCTAATGACTTCGGTTGGTACCAAAAATTAATTCAAAGCATATGAATCGCCAAGAACTTCTCAGAAATTTCATTTCAATTCAAGTACTCAAACACCACTTTTAATCAAAGTAGCAACCAAGTCATGACACTAAAGTTTCAAAATTTGCCTCATTATCACAAGCAATTTTCTTTTGTTCATTCTTCCCAATTGGAGATTGGATTAAGTTCACGACTCAAAATTTTCATGTGCCCTCACACTTAATAGAGAATCCCAAATTATAGATTGCTATTTAAACACATATGGGATATCAAATGGAAAGAATTAACTCTCACTCTCATAAAGATATTCAAATGCACAAAAGTAGTGCCATAGGCTTGCCCTTCATGTATTTCTCCACTAATGTAAACACACTTGGTTCAAAATCAAGTAGGATTTAAAGGATTGTAATGTAAGTTTTTGGTTGGGGTAGGGCACACTTTGGATAATAGTGACTCAAAACCTCCTTAAACACTACAATTTGCAACAATCAACGCACACTTCCTTCGAAAACATTTTCCATCTTTTTTT